GTGGCGTACATTTATTTGATGTCCTGCCTATCTGAAACCATAAGATGAGTTGTAATGTTGAATAATTATAGCTAATATTTGCACAGCATTTTATAGCATGCACGGTGTTTTCAGACTCGTTCAGTTAGTCCTTGCAAGAGGAGCATGCAGAAGATTCTGTAATGTTGCTGTTTTGCAGATGAGGAACCCCAGACTCACAGCTACAATGACTAGCTCTAGAATAACGGGTCGGTTAGATGGTGCCTTATGTTTGTGAGGCTCTTTCAAGCACGTTTTTCTATGATCTGATTCATTTACTACCCACACTATGCATCTTTTTAAAATATCAGTTGACCATATTGTTATTTTAACCTCTACTCTATGCTTTAGTTTCTCAAAACTGTCTTAATCTTTCTGAGTCAGTCTCAGCTTGCAATGCCATGGGAAAATAGGCCCAGCCAAGAGCTGAAGCCACCATGCCCAGGACCCAGTGACCCACCCACCTTTATTTTGGTGGAGAAGGAGCAGAGTCCTGGAAAATCCAGGCATGGAAGACTGGTGCTTCTAAGAGTCAGAGCTTGTCCAGAGTGGGCACAGATACAAGGAGGATGGCCTTCCAGTGCCATTCTTCAAAGCAGGGAACATCCCAAGTAAGGGGCTCAGACAGTATTTTGGGGGCCCCATCCCTTCACGACTACGTATCCAACTGGTGTGTCCTTTCCTCTCTCTTCTTCTGGTAACCAAGACCTTGTAAATGTTGAGTACCCTTTATCTAAAACGCTTGGGACCAGAAGTGTTTGAGATTTCAGATTTTTTTCAGATTTTGAAATATTTGCGTTATGTTTACTGGTTAAGCATCCCAAATTCGAAAATCTAAAATCCTTTGAATGCACTTCCTTTGAGTGGCATATTTATTCATGCTCAAAAAGTTTGAGATTTTGGAGCATTTCAGATTTCAGGTTTTGGGATTTGGAATACTCGACCTATACTCTCGGTCCTTGCTCCACTTCTACCTTATTCTCCCTGCACAAAGGAATTTAGATGTTGGAGCCATCATATACACCAGTGAAACTACATCATCTCCCAGGAGGACTTCACTTTACAAATGATCTCTGAAGATGCCAAGAAAGTCTGTGTGTGTGTGTTTAAATTAAGCTTAAACTCTACGACATAAACAATATACTAGTTTTAAATAATAAACTCTACAAATAATACTGTAATAAATTATAATGCTTTACAAATTACTACTTGGACTGTTTTATGCCTGGAATACCTGTTATCATCCTCCTTTATGGATTCTATTTCTAAGATTTTAGTAGTTTTGCACCTGTGTTTTTTGCTTTTCTCTTTCAAATCATTCTCCTTCCCCCCTTTTATTGTTGAAAAGACCTTTCCTATGCCCTGAACTTAAATAAGCAGCTTCCTTATGAATGGAAACTGCCAAGAATTAGCATCATTTTAAGAAATTCCAGTTAAGGTCCTCTGAGTTAAAGCTCAGAGCTCCCGGTGGATTGACATAGCCCTATGATATAAGCTCCCACACCACAGGGAAATGTGGCAGGTAGCTGGCATCCAATGAGACAAACGTGGCAGCTGCATTAGGTATGTAGCCATGGAATTTCTGAATGGAATGTAGAAACCAGAACTCCCAGCTTTCCAGAGTACACCCCCTGCCAGGCTGCTCTGCCACCCATTTCTCGGCTAAACCACTGCTTTGCCCACAGGAGCGCTGAGACTCAGCTTGTCCTCAGATGTAACTTTCTCTGCAGAGCAGCCTCTTCTCTTAGCCAGAAGAGGTTTTTCTTTGTATTCACTCTCTCAGCTATGTTTCCTTTTCCCATTTTATTTTCTGAATACCAAATTTTGAAAGAGACCGTTTTCTTGCCTCTTTGCTTTGGCTTCCAGAAGCTCACCTCCACACTGATGCGTTGTCTCCGACAGCCGGCCTGGGCAGCCTGTAATTCCTGCACTTCTTGCCTGTCTACGGTCGCCTTACTGTTCTATTTTTGTTCTTCTATTCCCCCCACTTCCAGTATGTGTTTGCATTCTCTAATAGTGTATAATAACTCGTCTGACACTCTTTTATTGAATGAGATAAAATAATAAAAGATAATCTCTATTAATTAACTAAGCCATCTCGCTAGTACTATGGTACATGGCAATCTATTTTGCATTCACTTAGGAGCTGCTTGAAAAGATTGGAGAGTCTGTGTCTTGAAGAACATGGGTGAGGAACCTTTCCAAGTGGAACTCTGGGTCCAGTTAAAAGTAACCGTGGTCCCTACCTGGTGGCCTTTTATGCAGTGATGTACCAAGTCACTTTGCAGACTTCCCTAGACCAGAAGATACTCCCATAATTCTTACTGACCTTGGAAAAGGCATCCAAGTTTTTACCATGAAGAAGATGAGGTTAAATATCTCTGTACTAATTTGGGGAGCCTGTATTGGATTTGAAACACATTTTCTAGGTTCCATAGGACTAGACTTGAACTCTAATATTATTATGCATAATGTCCCATAGTCATTGTTCCAGACATTCCTGTTTGAGAAGTGTTTTATCTAGAATCCTGGAAGTTCCAAGTAATGGACCTTGGCTGATGTTAGAATGACGTTCCAAAATACTTGACCATATCAGCCAATCCACTCAGATAACCTTTTGAAGAGATCGAATTCTACAGCTAATATTTGGATATATTTCCACGTATGTTTGTTTTAGTCTGTTATGAATTTCATAAGGCTTGGCATATTTTTCACCCAGGCACTCTGTCAGTAAATTCACACACAAGAGAGAATTTTAGGAAGGGCCTGAATCCATGCAGGTCTCTTGTGATACATTCATAGCACAAAACTGTGGAAATTAAGAATATTTAACTTCCATGAAGGCACTTTGTATGAAAGTCAGGGATGCTACTAAACAGTAAAATCGTCTTCCTACAAGAAGTACCTCCAGGTCTAAGCTGGACTGGTCCATTTGGCTGGAAACAGGTTTTTTGCTAGAGACCCAGGAGGGTCTGTGGGTGCTGCCCAGTGGCAGGGGCGGACTATACCGCGTCCAAGATTTAATTTGGCATAACATACCTCACCAGGGCTTTGCTCAGAAATATCTTATATCTTAAATGTGTGCCCAACATACAACTCATTTTTATAACATTGTTAAGTGCTGATATAGCATATTTCTACTTCGACATCACCAATGAGAGAAAGCTCTCTATGCCACGAGGAAAACCACTCAATATTCAGACAGCTCCAGTGGTTAGAAAATTTTTCTTTGTTATTTCTCCATCAGTCTTAGTTATCTTTCTTAGAGCCACATACAGTCTATCTAATCCATCCTCCAAAAGCTAATCCTAAGTGAGCATGTGAAGGCTATTAGGACGATCACGACAATGATGGTGGTGGTGGTAACTGTCACCACCACCATCAATAGTAAGAGCACGTAACATTTCTTGACACTTCCTGTAAGTGCTGTGTTGAGCATTTTACATTTTTATCTCATTAATTCTCACAACTTGGTGAAACAGATACTTTTTAGAAATTCATTTTACAGGTGAGGAAACTGAGGCTTACAGAGGTGAAGTTGCTTGTCCTGGATACCAGGCAGCAGGAAACAGCTGGGATTAGGCTCAGGCAGTGTGACTCGGGTTAAACTCTTTATCCAGGGGTCCTCGAACTACGGTCCACGGGCCACATGCGGCCCACCAAGGACATTTATCCGGCCCACCAGGTGCTTTTGCCGCCGCTGCCTGTCCTGCTTAGCAGTGGACTCATCCCAGGCCCACAGTGCGCATGTGTGGAATGTGCGCCGCACTCTCCAACGGCCCTCCAACGGTCTGAGGGACTGTTTAAAAAGTTTGAGGACCCCTGCTTTAAGCAGTCTGTTCTCTGGTTTTCCATTAGTGAGTTATACAGTGGAGCACATCTGCAAATGCAGGAGTATCTTCTCAGCAGAGGATTCCAGAGGCCAGATTCCACCACTTGCTATATATTCTTGTGCACAGAGTCATCTCTGTTGTCTCAACACATCTTTCTTAGAGTGGTATATTTTTAAAAAATTCATTGTATCAACATAAAAGCTGTTGGAAGCTATATGCATAGAAAACTGCAGCCCTGCAGTTCCCTTGCACTGGTCCAGTGAAATTTCAAATTGGTCCTTCACAAGCTGAGGTACCTGGGTCACGAGAGTTCACGTATAGCAGAGTTAGAGGAATGAATGCTTTCCCGAAAGCTCAGTGCCCGACATCTAAGTGCTGTTCTGCAAATACCTGTTGAATGAATTGGTAGATCAGTGACTTCTCTAAAAAGGTAGTTTGACATCTAGAGCTGAAAGCAGTAGAAATTTTGCTGTTTACTTTAAAAATATTTACATTTTAACTATTTTTTTTTCGGTTTTTGCTTGCAGATGTGTAACCAATTTGTATTTCTCTCTGATTTGACTCACCTTTGCAAATGTCTTAGGCTGCAGTTTCATTGAGAGTAACTTTTTGGATATTATGCCTTCTCATTTTTATGCTTCATGTGAAGTACCCAATCTCGTGACCATTGAAATAAATGCTAAATTACGAGAGTCTCTAACTTTCCTGTGAGGTAGACCTCTGAAAAATTGCTCCTCCTGTACATGTTAAAAGAAGTCCCTGCAACTGTAAATCTCTGTTGTCTAAACTCCATTCCTCCTGAGCTTTAAGAAACTTACCTTTCTGGACAGATATTTTAATATTGCCCACTGTGTTGTACTTGTTTATTGACATGGTATGTTCCGCGTCAATGGAAAGCTTGTGATACTTTTATCGCTGTCATACTTTGTATGGTTTAGGCCAGATGTCCCTAGGTTTTAGAGACCCAGTGCCTCAAGGATATTTATTTGCCATGAATTCAGAAATGACTTGCTGTGTTATTACTCATCCTCTGGGATGGAGGTGCATGCTTTCTCCTCTTCAGAGGTAGCTATAGGGATTCCAGTGCTGTTCGTGTAAGTCTATTTTTTATCTTTCAAATGACATTTGGTTTTGCGTTGTCTTTCCTAGGTTTGCTGGGATGGGAAACCTGCTCAAAGTCCTTACCAGAGAAATTGAAAACTATCCGCATTTTTTCCTGGATTTTGAAAGTAAGTGCCAAAAATGATAACATAATAATGGAAACTTTTCACATTCTTTATAGCTTATTGATAAAGAAGTTATAAACATTTTATATGATATTTTAAACTATATCCAAATGCCACTGTGCATTTCTTTCTGAGATTATTTCTAATGTCATTTTACTTCTTTATTTTTCTATTGTTTTAGAAACATAATGGAAAATATTTTTAATGTATCTGTGGTTTTCTTTGATTTTAGAAGTGATCAGCTTTTGTAGGCCTAGCATAAATCATCGTCATGTATTTTTTCTAAAGACTTTTATATGGAAGAAGATGAGGTTAAATGCTCTGTACTGAATCTTTGGGAAGCCTGATTTGGATTTGAAACAGCATTTTCTAGTGTCCTATAGGACTAGACTTGAAACTCATATATTATGACATAATTGTCCCATAGTCATTGTTCAGACATTCCTGTTTGAGAAGTGATTATCATCAGTCCGGAATTCCAAGTAATGGACCTTGGTGATGTTAGACATGACGGTTCCAAAATACTTGACCATATCAAGCCATCCACTCGATAACCGTTTAAGAGATCGAATTCTACAGCTAATATTTGGATATATTTCACTGTATGTTTGTTTAGTCTGTTGATGAATTTCATAAGGCTTGGCTATTTTTCACCCAGGCTCCTGTTCAGTAAATTCCACACAAGAGAGAATTTTAGAAGAGGCATGATCCATTGCAGTCTCTTTGATACATTATAGCACAAAAACTTGTAAATTAAGATATTTAACTTCATGAAGGCACTTTGGATGAAGTCAGGGATGCTACTAAACAGTAAAATTCGTCTTCCTACAAGAGTACCTCCAGGTCAAGCTGGAGCTGGTCCATTTGCTGGAAACAGGTTTTGCTAGAGACCAGGAGGGTCTGTGGTGCTGGCCAGTGGCAGGGCGGACTATACCGCGTCCAAGATTTAATTTTGGCATAACAAGTGTTTACCTGATTATAGCTCAGTGTGAAAGAGATGAATATAAAGGATCATGGATCCTGGGAGATCGAACCTGAAAGGTAAAGATAAATGCAAGTCATGTGATTCTGGAGATGTGGCGTACATTTATTTGATGTCCTGCCCATCTGAAACCATAAGATGAGGTGTAATGTTGAATAATTATAGCTAATATTTGCACAGTATTTTATAGCATGCACGGTGTTTTCACACTCGTTCAGTTAGTCCTTGCAAGAGGAGCATGCAGAAGATTCTGTAATGTTACTGTTTTGCAGATGAGGAACCCCAGACTCACAGCTACAATGACTAGCTCTAGAATAACGGGTCGGTTAGATGGTGCCTTATGTTTGTGAGGCTCTTTCAAGCACGTTTCTCTATGATCTGATTCATTTACTACCCACACTATGCATCTTTTGAAAATATCAGTTGACCATATTGTTATTTTAACCTCTACTCCATGCTTCAGATTCTCAAAACTGTCTTAATCTTTATGAGTCAGTCTCAGCTTGCAATGCCATGGGAAAATAGGCCCAGCCAAGAGCTGAAGCCACCATGCCCAGGACCCAGTGACCCACCCACCTTTATTTTGGTGGAGAAGGAGCAGAGTCCTGGAAAATCCAGGCATGGAAGACTGGTGCTTATAAGAGTCAGAGCTTGTCCAGAGTGGGCACAGATACAAGGAGGATGGCCTTCCAGTGCCATTCTTCAAAGCAGGGAACATCCCAAGTAAGGGGCTCAGACAGTATTTTGGGGGCCCCATCCCTTCACGACTACGTATCCAACTGGTGTGTCCTTTCCTCTCTCTTCTTCTGGTAACCAAGACCTTGTAAATGTTGAGTACCCTTTATCTAAAACGCTTGGGACCAGAAGTGTTTGAGATTTCAGATTTTTTTCAGATTTTGAAATATTTGCGTTATGTTTACTGGTTAAGCATCCCAAATTCGAAAATCTAAAATCCTTTGAATGCACTTCCTTTGAGTGGCATATTTATTCATGCTCAAAAAGTTTGAGATTTTGGAGCATTTCAGATTTCAGGTTTTGGGATTTGGAATACTCGACCTATACTCTCGGTCCTTGCTCCACTTCTACCTTATTCTCCCTGCACAAAGGAATTTAGATGTTGGAGCCATCATATACACCAGTGAAACTACATCATCTCCCAGGAGGACTTCACTTTACAAATGATCTCTGAAGATGCCAAGAAAGTCTGTGTGTGTGTGTTTAAATTAAGCTTAAACTCTATGACATAAACAATATACTAGTTTTAAATAATAAACTCTACAAATAATACTGTAATAAATTATAATGCTTTACAAATTACTACTTGGACTGTTTTATGCCTGGAATACCTGTTATCATCCTCCTTTATGGATTCTATTTCTAAGATTTTAGTATTTTTGCACCTGTGTTTTTTGCTTTTCTCCTTCAAATCATTCTCCTTCTCCCCTTTTATTGTTGAAAAGACCCTTCCTATGCCCTGAACTTAAATAAGCAGCTTCCTTACGTATGGAAACTGCCAAGAATTAGCATCATTTTAAGAAATTCCAGTTAAGGTCCTCTGAGTTAAAGCTCAGAGCTCCCGGTGGATTGACATAGCCCTATGCTCCCACACCACAGGGAAATGTGGCAGGTAGCTGGCATCCAATGAGACAAACGTGGCAGCTGCATTAGGCATGTAGCCATGGAATTTCTGAATGGAATGTAGAAACCAGAACTCCCAGCTTTCCAGAGTACACCCCCTGCCAGGCTGCTCTGCCACCCATTTCTCGGCTAAACCACTGCTTTGCCCACAGGAGCGCTGAGACTCAGCTTGTCCTCAGGTTTGACTTTAGATGCGGAGCATCCTCTTCTCTTAGCCAGAAGAGGTTTTTCTTTGTATTCACTCTCTCAGCTATGTTTCCTTTTCCCATTTTATTTTCTGAATACCAAATTTTGAAAGAGACCGTTTTCTTGCCTCTTTGCTTTGGCTTCCAGAAGCTCACCTCCACACTGATGCGTTGTCTCCGACAGCCGGCCTGGGCAGCCTGTAACTCCTGCACTTCTTGCCCGTCTACAGTCGCCTTACTGTTCTATTTTTGTTCTTCTATTCCCCCCACTTCCAGTATGTGTTTGCATTCTCTAATAGTGTATAATAACTCGTCTGACACTCTTTTATTGAATGAGATAAAATAATAAAAGATAATCTCTATTAATTAACTAAGCCATCTCGCTAGTACTATGGTACATGGCAATCTATTTTGCATTCACTTAGGAGCTGCTTGAAAAGATTGGAGAGTCTGTGTCTTGAAGAACATGGGTGAGGAACCTTTCCAAGTGGAACTCTGGGTCCAGTTAAAAGTAACCGTGGTCCCTACCTGGTGGCCTTTTATGCAGTGATGTACCAAGTCACTTTGCAGACTTCCCTAGACCAGAAGATACTCCCATAATTCTTACTGACCTTGGAAAAGGCATCCAAGTTTTTACCATGAAGAAGATGAGGTTAAATATCTCTGTACTAATTTGGGGAGCCTGTATTGGATTTGAAACACATTTTCTAGGTTCCATAGGACTAGACTTGAACTCTAATATTATTATGCATAATGTCCCATAGTCATTGTTCCAGACATTCCTGTTTGAGAAGTGTTTTATCTAGAATCCTGGAAGTTCCAAGTAATGGACCTTGGCTGATGTTAGAATGACGTTCCAAAATACTTGACCATATCAGCCAATCCACTCAGATAACCTTTTGAAGAGATCGAATTCTACAGCTAATATTTGGATATATTTCCACGTATGTTTGTTTTAGTCTGTTATGAATTTCATAAGGCTTGGCATATTTTTCACCCAGGCACTCTGTCAGTAAAATCATACACAAGAGAGAATTTTAGGAAGGGCCTGAATCCATGCAGGTCTCTTGTGATACATTCATAGCACAAAACTGTGGAAATTAAGAATATTTAACTTCCATGAAGGCACTTTGTATGAAAGTCAGGGACGCTACTAAACAGTAAAATCGTCTTCCTACAAGAAGTACCTCCAGGTCTAAGCTGGACTGGTCCATTCAGCTGGAAATAGGTTCTTTCCTAGAGACCCAGGAGGGTCTGTGGGTGCTGCTCAGTGGCAGGGGCGGAATATACCCCATCCAAGGTTTAATTTGGCATAACATACCTCACCAGGGCTTTGCTCAGAAATATCTTATATCTTGAAAGGAAACGTGCATAAAGGCAGGGGAGAAAAGGAAAAATGACAAAAGGGACAGAGAAGATTCTTTTGGAAGAGAAAAATATGGTTTTTGCCTCCCATTTGTGTATATGTGTGTGTGCACACATGTGTGTGTCTAAAAATATTCATATACCTCAAGGTGGGAGATGTCTAAGAAGTATCTAGTCCAACCTTCTGCCCAACACACAACTCATTTTTATAACATTGTTAAGTGCTGATATAGCATATTTCTACTTCGACATCACCAATGAGAGAAAGCTCTCTATGTCAGGAGGAAAACCACTCAATATTCAGACAGCTCCAGTGGTTAGAAAATTTTTCTTTGTTATTTCTCCATCAGTCTTAGTTATCTTTCTTAGAGCCACATACAGTCTATCTAATCCATCCTCCAAAAGCTAATCCTAAGTGAGCATGTGAAGGCTATTAGGACGATCATGACAATGATGGTGGTGGTGGTAACTGTCACCACCACCATCAATAGTAAGAGCACGTAACATTTCTTGACACTTCCTGTAAGTGCTGTGTTGAGCATTTTACATTTTTATCTCATTAATTCTCACAACTTGGTGAAACAGATACTTTTTAGAAATTCATTTTACAGGTGAGGAAACTGAGGCTTACAGAGGTGAAGTTGCTTGTCCTGGATACCAGGCAGCAGGAAACAGCTGGGATTAGGCTCAGGCAGTGTGACTCGGGTTAAACTCTTTATCCAGGGGTCCTCGAACTACGGTCCACGGGCCACATGCGGCCCACCAAGGACATTTATCCGGCCCACCAGGTGCTTTTGCCGCCGCTGCCTGTCCTGCTTAGCAGTGGACTCATCCCAGGCCCACAGTGCGCATGTGGAATGTGGGCCGCACTCTCCAACGGCCCTCCAACGGTCTGAGGGACTGTTTAAAAAGTTTGAGGACCCCTGCTTTAAGCAGTCTGTTCTCTGGTTTTCCATTAGTGAGTTATACAGTGGAGCACATCTGCAAATGCAGGAGTATCTTCTCAGCAGAGGATTCCAGAGGCCAGATTCCACCACTTGCTATATATTCTTGTGCACAGAGTCATCTCTGTTGTCTCACCACATCTTTCTTAGAGTGGTATATTTTTAAAAAATTCATTGTATCAACATAAAAGCTGTTGGAAGCTATATGCATAGAAAACTGCAGCCCTGCAGTTCCCTTGCACTGGTCCAGTGAAATTTCAAATTGGTCCTTCACAAGCTGAGGTACCTGGGTCACGAGAGTTCACGTATAGCAGAGTTAGAGGAATGAATGCTTTCCCGAAAGCTCAGTGCCCGACATCTAAGTGCTGTTCTGCAAATACCTGTTGAATGAATTGGTAGATCAGTGACTTCTCTAAAAAGGTAGTTTGACATCTAGAGCTGAGAGCAGTAGAAATTTTGCTGTTTACTTTAAAAATATTTACATTTTAACTATTTTTTTTTCAGGTTGTGACTGCAGATGTGTAACCAATTTGTATTTCTCTCTGATTTGACTCACCTTTGCAAATGTCTTAGGCTGCAGTTTCATTGAGAGTAACTTTTTGGATATTATGCCTTCTCATTTTTATGCTTCATGTGAAGTACCCAATCTCGTGACCATTGAAATAAATGCTAAATTACGAGAGTCTCTAACTTTCCTGTGAGGTAGACCTCTGAAAAATTGCTCCTCCTGTACATGTTAAAAGAAGTCCCTGCAACTGTAAATCTCTGTTGTCTAAACTCCATTCCTCGTGAGCTTTAAGAAACTTACCTTTCTGGACAGATATTTTAATATTGCCCACTGTGTTGTACTTGTTTATTGACATGGTATGTTCCGCGTCAATGGAAAGCTTGTGATACTTTTATCGCTGTCATACTTTGTATGGTTTAGGCCAGATGTCCCTAGGTTTTAGAGACCCAGTGCCTCAAGGATATTTATTTGCCATGAATTCAGAAATGACTTGCTGTGTTATTACTCATCCTCTGGGATGGAGGTGCATGCTTTCTCCTCTTCAGAGGTAGCTATAGGGATTCCAGTGCTGTTCGTGTAAGTCTATTTTTTATCTTTCAAATGACATTTGGTTTTGCGTTGTCTTTCCTAGGTTTGCTGGGATGGGAAACCTGCTCAAAGTCCTTACCAGAGAAATTGAAAACTATCCGCATTTTTTCCTGGATTTTGAAAGTAAGTGCCAAAAATGATAACATAATAATGGAAACTTTTCACATTCTTTATAGCTTATTGATAAAGAAGTTATAAACATTTTATATGATATTTTAAACTATATCCAAATGCCACTGTGCATTTCTTTCTGAGATTATTTCTAATGTCATTTTACTTCTTTATTTTTCTATTGTTTTAGAAACATAATGGAAAATATTTTTAATGTATCTGTGGTTTTCTTTGATTTTAGAAGTGATCAGCTTTTGTAGGCCTAGCATAAATCATCGTCATGTATTTTTTCTAAAGACTTTTATGAATTATTGTTTCATATTCCAAATGAAAGTAATAAACACAGTAATTTATACAGATTATCACTATATATGAAAGAAAAAATGATTAATACCAGAAATAAGGCTTAAGGATTTTTTTAGTCATTTCCATTTGTTCTTTACATATTATTTGATTGTATGAACCATTTCAGGATTTTGAGATATATCCCTTTTATCCAAAAGGTTATGTTTCTTTTATCAAAAACTCTTAACTTTTTTTTCCAGTTAAAGTGGCTTAAGAATCATGACTGAATAGGCCCAGAAATTCTTTCTTATTTGTTGATTAAACATATTTACAAATAAGTGGCACATTCATTCTTAATCAAATTAAGCTTATGTTTCCACTTTTACTTTTGTATTCTCTTTTTTTATTATTAATATAATTCCACAACAGCAAGCACAGTTAAATGCCCTTTTCCCTAGTATTCACTATCTGTTGCACCTTTTAATCTGCTTTCAATTTTACTTTTTCAAGTATTTTACCTATATTATAAATAATAGTTAGAATTTCCTTACATATAGATGAAACCTTCTAACAAAGATTTGCTAAGTAAATTCTAGAAGACCCTTCCAAGATGCACTAGACTGAAAGGTGAAAGTTCCCCTAGGTGTATCTTTTTAGTGTCTTAGGTGTGTTCAAAATAGCTACTTGAAAAGTGGCCGGGTGCGGTGGCTCACGCCTGTAATCCTAGCACTCTGGGAGGCCGAGGCGGGTGGATTGCTCTGCATCAGGAGTTCGAAACCAGCCTGAGCAAGAGTGAGACCCCCCATCTCTACTATAAATAGTAAGAAATTAATTGGCCAACTAAAATATATAGAAAAAATTAGCTGGGCATGGTGGCACATGCCTATAGTCCCAGCTACTCGGGAGGCTGAGGCAGTAGGATTGCTTAAGCCCAAGAGTTTGAGGTTGCTGTGAGCTAGGCTGACGCCACGGCATTCACTCTAGCCTGGGCAACAAAGCTAGACTCTGTCTCAAAAAAAAAAAAAAAAAGAAAAGTAAAGGTGTCCCCAAGGCTCATACATTCTGAAAAAATTTAATCTACATTAAGTTCAATGAAAGATGCCTCACTTCGGATTTAACTCATTGGGCTGTGTTGTTGCTTCTGCTGTTTGGCTTAGCTTGGTTTGGTTTGGTAAGGGCTGCAGCTATAGCCAGATTGATTTGATATTTCGAAAGAAATGGGCTTTTTTACTGGTCTAACTTTTGCTACTCCTCTAAAATGTATATGCGTGTATGTGTATATATGTATGTGTGTATATGTAGTGGTTTTTAAAAGAATGATTAATAACTTTAAAACTTTTTTACAAACTAAATTGTCTATAGTGATAAACCCTTATTTTACTATTTACGTTTTTCATTGCTCCCTTCCATTTCTTGTCACATGCATTTTATGTTGCTGCATTCAGCATGTACAAAGGCCAAAGTAGTGGTGAAATACCCCACTCATTCACAAGTGTCGGGGATGTAAGCACCTAAGAGAGTTACATGCTTGTTCTTTCTGGGAGCCCTGAATCCCACACGTACCTGTGCACGCTCACGTGTGCCTCCCAGAGTTCAGGGACTCCACTTGCCTATTAAGCAAGCTGTTCTTGGATACTTGGCTTTCCACGCTTCCACAAAGACCAGTGTTGAGTTATCGGTCAGGTCTAATCTCAAAAAGCCTTAAAATGACAAAAGTAAATTTTACAGGGATTTAGGACAGTAGTTTTCAACTATCGTCCTACGGGGTTCCAGATTTCGGAGGCTGTGCCTGGGGACCCGTCCCCCGCCACGACAGCAGCCAGGGATGGGCGGAGAGGGGCCTCTGTTCCTTTCCTCTTGTGACCAGAGCTCGATGGCCTGACCAGTTTCGTTCTTTGGACATTTTATTAACATTTTATTTAAAGAAAGGTCATGGTGGTTAAATAAAGCACTTAGAAATCTTGAATTGTGATAATAGTTTATGGTATAAAAACTTCATTTGTGGATATATTATAGTTTCTTCTAAAGGAGGAAGTGAGGACTGAATCCCCATATCTGATGATTCATTACTAGGGCTAGAGCTATAATATTTAAGGAAAATATAAAACTATAAATTTATAAAAACTGCCTGGTATGGTGGCTCACAACTATAATCCGAACAACTCAGGAGGCAGAGTCATGAGTTATCACTTGAGCGCAAAATTTCAAGACCAGGCTGGGCAACATAGTAAGAGCCCATTGCTAAAAAATTTTCTTGAGAAATCAGTGAGGTGTGGTGGCATGTGCCTACAGTCCCTGCCACTGGGGAGGCTAAGGTGGGAGAATTACTTGAGCCCAGGAGTTCTGGGTTGCAGTGAGCTGTAATCACACCACCACTGCACTCCAGCCTGGGAGACACAGTGAGATTCTATCTCTAAATAAATTAATTAATTAAATTTAAATAAATAAAAATATATATAAAATGTTGTTTATTTCCTCATTGATTCTAAAGTGAAGATCACCTTTATTCTACTGAGACTCTGAGAAGGTAAATAATTGGGTTGACGTCACACAGGAGTGACCAGGGAGCACAGGTGTCTTTGGCTGTCCTGGTCCTGCTGCTTTGCTTCCCTGAACCGCTTGTCACCAGCAGCTTCCTAGAGGGGCCACAGCATCATTCTATCCCTGACGAGAGAGGGACGTCTTCGTTGTCCACAAACTAAGTCATCGCATAGAAAAAATTTGATTTTGATCTCTTAATCCTGAAAACCCTGTTTCCTAAAGTGGTTTTCAAGAAAGATTGCTGATGGGCTGGAAGGATCAGGAAGGTGGGCTGCTGTCATGGCCTCTCCTTGCACCTGCAGATTTCAGCTCCATCCAGGAAGGCTATGTTGAGTAGGATCACAACCATACACGTAAGCCACGAGACATCAGGGGTGCAGAGCTAAGTGAGAGCAGTCGCGGCCTAATGAAGACCCAGGCTAGAGTGGAGGACAATACAGGCGCACAGTCCAAGACAAAATAAAACAAATGGCTCCAGGGAGGCACGGTGTGGCATGGGAGTAGACAAGGAAAAAGTGTACACCTGGTTTCTTGAAACGGAAGACCGTAGAAAGAATCAGAGAAGTCTTCTTGTAAGAGGTGGGATTTGGAATAGGCTTTAAAGAATGAGTGGTTTTTCTATAGCACACAGATGGAGAGAGTTTTCCAACAGATGGAAACAGTATAATTAAAAGCAGAGACTGGAATAGGAAGGGCATGTCTGAAGAACAGCAAGAGGTTTGATTTAGACAGAGCACCAAATGCTTGTTGGAGAGAAATGGGGACCGACGTGGAAGCCTGGCTTGGGTGTGGTAGTGGCAGGCGTGGCTGCCAGGCTGAGAAGCTCGGGCTGGATGTCCACAATCAGGGCTCATCTCCAAAGAGAGTCACTGGCATCCCTGAGGGAAAGCTGGAGGGCAGACAGAGCTGGGCAGATGGCAGCAAGGGGCGTGCTTTGCTTAAAGAAGGCTTGAGCAGGCCGAGGATCCACGAGAGAGGCCACCTGGACAGGAAGAAGGATGCCTTGCTAGACTGAGATTCCTGAAGGCAGGGAGTGAGCTCCACTCACTTGGGTGGTGCAGCACTTAGCCTATGTAGAGCACGGAGCATTGAGCACACAATGAACTTCAGTAGCAGATGCTGGTCACCCGAGGGCACAGACTGGAGCAGGCTAAATCCAGGCAGTCCGGAGAGCACAGGTGCTCCAGGAGGAGGGAGTGTAAATGGATTCAGTGCTGCAGAACATTCGGGAAGGATAAGGCTTGGAAAGGGGCAATGAGCTGCCTAATCCCTGGCGGCAGCCACTGGGAGGGCAGATCCGAGATTTGTTGCTTTGCCTGCAGAGTCTGGAGTGTGAAGAGTTAAGGAGGAAGGGGTGGAGGGAGGAAGGAAAGCTGAACAGCCTGTAGTAACAGCATAAATGCATTTGGCACCTCTGCTTTGAGTGTTGAATATTCTTTTTGAAGTCAGTGATGGGATATAATTGAACTGGGTCAAATAGATATAATTAAGCCAGGTCAAAACGTAATACAAAAGTAGACACATCTGTCCTTAGGTTTTGGCATTGAGTAGATCTGATTGAAATTCTTGTCTGGCCTTTGCAGCAAGTTCTACACTTTATGCTCACATTTCTCCACAACCACTTAACACCTTTTTTTTTCATTGTTGTTTTTTTTCTTCCCTCTGCTTTTTTCTTTTTCTCACTCTACCGCCTCACCATGTCTCCATTTCCTCTTTGAGGGCTGGGAGACAGGGGAGGAATGAAAGATTAACGCAAGTCCCTGACCTTTCATGAGTGATGGTTTTAAGGACAGTGTAAGGAGAAGTCTGCCTGAAGCTCTGTCCAGGATTACTCGGTTAGATTGCCGCATGGCACCCAACCTGGGCACCTGGCATTCATCTTCCAGTGAAGTATAATAGTTCTCATGATTCCCATATGGCAATGATCATTCAAACATCTAGTGAAACTTCTTTTTATATGGCTACCTGAGCCTCACCCACAATTTCTAATTTTTGTGGTTTACTCTTAGAATCTGCTTTTCCTCACATTTCCAGGTATTTCTAATGATCAGCCAGCGTGGGAAACTTTAAGTAACACATCCAAGTGGGGCACTAGCCCACCCCAGTGTTTAGGACAGGGGTGCTAAGCCATGCAGCCTTTTTGAGTTCCAGGACCCAAAAGCTTGGAGTGGGAGGTCTCCAAGATC